CTATGTTCACGAGTGGGGTGCCGAATCAAGCTGGTATTCTCTAATTGACTAATTAGTGGGTAAGGATTACCTCTTGAAGGCCCTTCAGTGTTGTTTAAGGGGCTGTGTTTTGAAGTTCTGTGGACTGCATTCGAAGGGTTTTGTCTCCGATACTCGTTAATCGTGGAGTAAGCTTCTTGAGGTCGATTTCTTAGAACAGGCGTCGCCCTGAGACCCGAAGAATGAAGCCCTTTCATGGCCTTCTCGAAACTGAGCCGAGGCGCGCTGGTCACTTCGTTTTTATATATATATCGGACGGAACGAACTCTAAACCGGGATGGCTGGTTTTTACTCGAGAAGCAACATTTACCTAATCCGTAGCTGATAAAACATCAAGTTGAACCGAAAATAATAATAATAATAATAACAAATGCAATTACCCTTTAAAACTTAAAAATATTTGTTAATAATTTGTTTCAAAAATAATATTTCAAAATAGTTTCAAAAATATCTTTTTATACCTCTCAAAATTATTTTTTAAATATTTATGAGTTTAAAAGTTTTGTTTATACTATTAATTTAAAAATAAAAAATAAAAATACTCCAAGAAAGTTATATCATATTTCAAAAAGATCATTGAACTTTATAAATTGTTATTAATACCTTCGACTTTTATAAAAATATCTATAATTAGTATTTTTATTAGTAATTATTAAATTGTAAAGTGGAAGGTTATTTTTGAAATAAAATAATAACAAATTTTCATTAAAACTTTTAAAAATTATTTAATAGAAGTATAAAATTTAAAAATATTTTTATTAATTTAGCCAAACAAAATCAAATGAAAATTTTCGGTACGATACCGATTTTCTCTCTCTCTAAACCCTCCAATTTTCTCTCGCTGCAATCAACGACTAAAAAAAAAGGTAGTAATAATAATAAAAAGCGTTGAAAGCATATGAATAAAACAACATTGGCTAAAGACAATTTGAAGTGACTCAAACAAATCTCAGTAGCAGTGAATCTATATTAGAAGAACGAAGTATTTGTATACTCTGTTTCTGACCTGTAAAATACAATGCATACTCATAGAATACATACTCGAAGTACCTACAGAAGCAGCAGCAGCCGATCACACTTCCTTACAACTTGCTGATCTTAACAGGCCCCATCTCCTTCGCCTTCGCTCTCAGCAGATTCTTTTGAATCTTCCCTGTTGCTGTTTTTGGCAGCTCCCCAAACACCACAGATTTCGGGACCCAGTAAGCTGGCATCCTCGCCTTGCAAAACTTCATGATATCCTCACCCATTTCCCGCTCCTTATCCTTATCTATCTTCACCTTCAACGCCACAAATGCGCAAGGAGATTCTCCCCACCGTTCGTCTGCTCTAGCTACAACAGACGCCTCCAGCACCGCCGGGTGCTGGTACAGAGTGTTCTCTATCTCCACACTGCTGATGTTCTCGCCTCCAGAAATGATGATGTCCTTTGATCTGTCTTTCACTTCTATGTAACCATCTGGGTGTTTCACGCCGAGATCGCCTGAGTGGAACCACCCATTTGCAAAGGCCTCTTCGTTTGCTTTCGGGTTCTTTAAGTAGCCTTTCATAACAGCGTTTCCACGCATTACGATCTCTCCGACAGTTTTTCCATCACAAGGGACGGGTTGCATTGTTTGAGTGTTGACAACGTCTAACCCCTCCAATGCTATGTATCGTACGCCTTGACGAGCGTTCATTCGCGCTTGGGCTTCGGGAGGCAATTGGTCCCACTCTGGTTTCCATGCGCATACTGTGGATGGTCATTCGCGCTTGGGCTTCGGGAGGCAATTGGTCCCACTCTGGTTTCCATGCGCATACTGTGGATGGCCCATAGGTTTCGGATAGGCCATAGGTGTGAGTGACGCGGAAGCCCTTCTGGGACATTGCGTATAATACAGAAGGAGGTGGAGCAGCGCCTGCTGTCATTGCATGGACGACATGGGGAAGGGGAAGGATATAATACAGAAGGAGGTGGAGCAGCGCCTGCTGTCATTGCATGGACGACATGGGGAAGGGGAAGGATAGTGTCTTCTTTAGGGGCATTGACAATAGTGTTAAGAACCACAGGTGCTGCACAAAAGTGTGTTACTTTATGTTTGGCTATGGCTGAATAAACTGCCTTGGCTGTGACCTGTAACAACAACCAAAAGGAAAAAGCTGCTAGCTATCAAGAAGAATCATAACATGACAGCATTTAGAAAGCCACAAAAATGTGTTGGTCATTGAATTTCTGAAGGGGAAAGAGCTGAAAAGTTGTGAATAAAAGTGTTTTTGAGCATTTGAAAAGTTGTTCATTTCTGAAGGGGAAAGAGCTGAAAAGTTGTGAATAAAAGTGTTTTTGAGCATTTGAAAAGTTGTTCTATGATGAACCATAAAAATTATGAGCCGCCTCAAAGAGGAGTTTCGTAAGATCGAATGAAAAAAACCTTCTTAATGTTTCCGTTTTAGTTCAATCTATTGTCGTTAGGATTTAGCATACAAGGAACTATTCAATAATCGTAAAATGGTTCAAAAAGATTTCTTGTTAATACCTGTCGGAGGCATATACTTGTCCCACAGAAAGCAGCTAGTGCCCATGTGTAACACCAATGTTAATACCTGTCGGAGGCATATACTTGTCCCACAGAAAGCAGCTAGTGCCCATGTGTAACACCAACCATTGCAATGGAACATTGGCAGGGTCCAAAGATAAATAGCTCCATCATTCATCCCCCACGCTAAGCCTACACTCAAAGACATGACATATGCCCCTCGGTGGCTCAAAACCACCCCTTTAGGACTTGAAGTTGTGCCAGACGTATAGCCAAGAGCAATGCTCTGCCACTCATCTTCTGGTGGTTTCCAAGCATACTCAGGATTGCCTGTTTCCAAGAATTTCTCGTATTCAATGGCCCCTTTCGATAAAGCATATTTCAGTGCCTCGGGATCACAGCTTTCATCACCAATTACAATTAGAAGTGGTGGCTTGTACTGCCCACGGCCTTTTTCAGCTAGGATATTCAAAGCTTCTTCTGCTAAGGGAAAAAACTCTTGATCCACCATAACAACTGCAGATGATGAGTGACCGAGAAGAAATGAAATTGTTTGTGCATTTAAACGAATATTAACACAATTCAGAACAGCACCAGCCATGGGAACTCCAAAATGAGCTTCATAGATAGCCGGTATGTTTGGAGCAATTATTGCCACCTAAAAAAACAATCAATTTTCTTTCAGATAACATCAACAAATTCCCAAGACAACATATCGAAGAGATCTAAAAAAACAATCAATTTTCTTTCAGATAACATCAACAAATTCCCAAGACAACATATCGAAGAGATTTTAAAATAATGAATTTCCAAGATAACGTATTAAACAGATTAAAGAACCCCCGGAATTCCGCTCAGGAACTTTAAAGTAACGTAATCGACTTTGCTCTTAAAGCAGCGAGGCATAATTGGAATCCTATCTCAGGAACTTTAAAGTAACGTAATCGACTTTGCTCTTAAAGCAGCGAGGCATAATTGGAATCCTATAGAACACGCGTGAAACGCAATCGACTCTTCGTGGTATCGTAATCCTATAGAATTTAATGAGATGAATTTCTGAAATAATCAACAAGAACACTGCCATTTCGAAGAACAATAGCCTGAAAAAAGCTTCAGTGATCATATGAAATAATCAACAAGAACACTGCCATTTCGAAGAACAATAGCCTGAAAAAAGCTTCAGTGATCATATCATATATTATGAGCCAACAAAAACTAGAAGATCCCAACCCCAAGCTTTATTGAGTGCGATTAACGC